AGGGTCTGTGGGGCGGGCTCCCCTCTCCCCGCCCGCCGGTACGGTGCCGCTGGGCTCAGCCCCGGCTCCGATCATCGCTGCGGGAGCGCGGGGTCGCCCCTGCCCTCGCCGAGGCCTGCCGGACTGCGCCCCGGGCCGGTTTCGGACAGTGGGTGACGGCCACGGTGACGGGAGCTCTCGGCGTCTCCGCCCGCCTTTTTAGGGCCGGCGGCTCCAGCCATGCCGCCCACCAAGGAGGCCTTGGTGCTGCAGTGTGAGTGGGAGATGTGCACCTACGTGGCCTCGAAGATGGAGGAGTTCTGCGAGCACGTAGCCCAGCACCTCCAGCAGCACCTTCCCGGGGAGCACCGGGATGAGGTGGACCCTCTCGGTAAGGAGCTCGCAGCTGAGGCTGCTGCGACTTATGAGCCCTCCTCCTTCTCTAAGGTGTTGCTTTGTGAGAGGCTCTTCCTCTCGCTGAGGAGAGCAGTGCTGCAGGACTGGAATCCGATGAAAAAGAAAGCTGCGGTGTTTCTCTGTGTGCAGCAACCTGAGCTTTACTTTGAGAGTTATCGTCAGACCATTATGGCCTGTGTATCTCCTGTTTGTGTTGCAGAGGAATACACGTGTTTGTGGCAGGGGGGGGGGGTTTCGTGTTTGTGGCAGGAGTGTGGCTTCTGTTCCCCGGAGAGCTCAGTTGACCTCATTCGCCACGTCTATTTCCACTGCTACCACACCAAGCTGAAGTACTGGGGGCTGCGGGCCCTGCAAAGCCAGTCAGACGTGAGCCATTGCCAACTGGACTTCCAGAGCCGCAACATCATCCCTGAGATCCAGGAGAACTTTCTGTGTCTCTGGGAGTACTGTGAGGTGAGAACAGGGGATCCGGTTTTGCTTTCATGTGTGTTATTTGTGACACGGTGGCCAAGGGAAGGAGAGCTGCTTTTTTCCTGTGGCTCACTTGCGTGCCTGCCCTTTGGCTGTGTTTGTACCTGTGTGAAAGTGTCTGTTGTGCTCTGGCTGAGGCCAACTTTTGCTGCTCTTTTCACTGTTCTGTCTGTCCCTGCTCCCTGACAGAGATCATTTGATAATCCCGAGTGGTTCTATCGGCACGTGGAGGATCACAGCTTCTGTTTGGAGTACAAGGCAGCAGGGAAGGAGAACCACGTGGTCCTCTGCGGCTGGAAAGGTTAGTGGGTGCACAGCAAGGCCTTTCTAGAGGCCTTTGCACAGGGCTGGATTGCAAACTTGAGAACTCTACACCCCTTGGTAGGGTTTCAGAGAGCCTCTCGAACTTCAGAAATATGCACATGGTCCTAACAGTGAAATGTTCCTGTAGGATTTCCTTCAGGGGATATAGCTAAGTACTTAATATGGAGCTTTTAGTTTAAATTTAATTAGTACCTAGAAGAAAAGGCTCCATTTTAATTCTTTCAATAAGTTCTTTCTCCCGTGTTTGTGCAGTTGCCTTAGCTGCCTGCAGTGGGGCAGAGTCATGCCAGTTGTACACTGTTGATCTCATCCTGCTGTGACCCTGCTCTGTGGGGTTTTTGGAGCAGGGAGTTGATCTTTGCTAGTCAAAACAGAAGCAAGAGGCCTGCCGCTCTGTCAGGCTGTGGATTGTGGCCCGTGTGTTGAGGATCTTAATGGCATTCTGCTGTTTCTGTTTAGACTGCGATTGTACCTTCAAGGGGCGCTGCAAACTGCGGGAGCACTTGCGCAGCCATACACAGGAGAAGGTGGTGGCCTGTCCTACCTGTGGGGGGATGTTTGCCAACAACACCAAGTTCTTTGACCACATCCGCCGCCAGACTGCGTTAGACCGTAAGTTCCTGTGGGCAGGGCAGGAGTGGGTGGAAACAGCCTGGCTTTTCTGATGAATGGGAACTCAGACACTGATGAAACTCTGAGCAGTGTCTTCCTGCAGAAGCAGGAGGATTGGAGGCTGGCAAGGCTGCACAGGACTTGCACTTCTGCAGCCAGAGCTGTTCTTCCTGCAGGGGCCCAGGACTGATGTCAAAGGCAGCAGCTGAGCACTTGCAGCAGCACTGGGATTTGCTTGTCAATTCCCCTTGTGCTGTGCTGGTGGGGGGTGTGTGTGTGTGTGTGATGGTTACTCCCCAGTTCCTGCACTGGCAGCACAAGGAGGCTGTGCAAAGGGGAGGCAAATTGATCTTTGCAAGTGTTTTGTGGGCTTTTTTTGTTGTTGTTTAGCATTGTAGTCAGTATCTGCTGTCTCTGGAGAGAAGGGTTCCCAGCCCCACTCTAACTGCCTCTTTTGCTCACTTGCTGTTCTTTGTGCTGTTCTTTCTATCTCTTTTCTCACCACGCTCTCTGCTTTCTCCCTGTCCTGGATGCTGCAGAGCAGAGATTTCAGTGTTCTCACTGCTCCAAGAGGTTTGCCACAGAGAGGCTGCTCCGTGACCATATGAGGAACCATGGTGAGTAAAGGCTTCTTCCTCAACTGAGGCTGTGAAGCGTGTGTGCTCTCCTGCTCTGTGGTCATGTTTTCCACCCATTCTTTCACACAGTGAACCATTACAAGTGCCCTCTGTGTGACATGACCTGCCCGCTGCCCTCCTCCCTGCGCAGTCACATTCGTTTTCGGCACAGCGAGGAGCGACCGTTCAAGTGTGACTACTGTGACTACAGGTAGGGACCAGGGCGTTCCATCTTCCCAGACTCATGATGGAGAAACACCCAGAGGCGTGAGTGTGTGCTACACAGTGTTCAGCTTTGTTCCCTTATAATTTTGTTTTAGCTGCAAGAATCTCATTGACTTGAGGAGACATCTGGACACGCACAGCAAAGAGTCAGCCTATCGCTGCGAGTTTGAGGCTTGCAGCTTCACTGCACGCTCCATCTGCTCCATCAAACTGCACTACCGGAAAGTCCATGAGGTAGGAAGGGAGCAGAGGGCTGTTCTGCTGTGTACTCTCTCTCAGTGAGGCTGAGAACTGCTAAGTGCAACATGCTCTACAGAAGCATGAGGAAAAAAGCTAAAGTCCTGTGAAGTGCCCCAGGCTGACCAGGGCTGTAGGAATGTGAGGTCAGGTTGCATTCCTCTCTTACTTCTGCAATGATATGTCATGTCAGTCTTCTTGGGGAACCTGATTCCTCCTTTCATGCATAGGCGTGGATACCGTTCCCTCTGATCTGGCTCTTGGAGTATTCACATCCCTCTCTCTGCCCTTCAGGGTGACTCAGAGCCCCGGTACAAGTGCCATGTCTGTGACAAGTGCTTCACGCGTGGAAACAACCTCACTGTCCACCTCCGGAAGAAACACCAGTTCAAATGGCCCTCGGGGCACCCTCGATTCAGGTACTGCCCACTCTTAGCTCCTCACTACCTCCTCTCTAGTGCAAGAGACAGCTGGAGTTGCATCCTGCATCTTTCTAGAGCAGAGATTTGGCAATGCTTAGGCTCTGATGTTTGCCTGTAATGTACTCAAGACCCATTTTCTAGTGGCTGGGAAGGCACTGGGACTTCAGATGCTCCAAATGAAACAGAGTGGTGAAAGGAGATGGGCTTGGGAGATGATAGAGGCCTGGCAGAAAGCTCAGAAGCTGCCACATGGATGTGCTTTTAGGAGTAGGGGCTGAAGGGTTTTTATCCTACTTGCCTGGTATCATCTGTGTAGGACTGGGCAGTGGAATCTAGAATATAGTACCCCTTCCTGGGCTGCTTCAGGCTGCCTACCTGTCTCTTGGGAATGGGCTGCAGTGTGACTGCCTCCATCACCCCTGTCTATCCCTGCACAGGTACAAGGAACATGAGGATGGCTACATGAGGCTGCAGCTGGTGCGTTACGAGAGCGTGGAGCTGACAGAGCAGCTACTGAAGGACAGAGAGAAGCAGGGGGAGGCACTGGATGGCTCAGCTGAGTGTGTGGTGCTGTCTGAGGGTGAGGCCAACCTGCAGGGCATCATTCTGGAGGCCCCGGCAGAGGCTTCCTTGGTGGAGAACAGCATCGCTGAGTTGCAAGTGGCCCCGCTGCGCCCGGCAGCTTGCTCTGCTGACAATCCTGAGCCAGCACGGCCGAGTGCCCTCCCAGGAGCAGCGCTGTCATCGGAGCAGGATTGCAGCATCCCAGCCAACCCCATCATCCGTGTGGTGAACCGGACCAATGAGCATGGGGAGAGTGAGACTGTGTATTATGTCACAGCCAGCACGTCCTCAGAGAAGCAGGTGGCAGCACCCAGCGGACTGGCTATGGAGCTGGAGGAGAATGTCATGGACCGTCTGCAGAAGACTGCTGAGGAGCTGGGCATCCAGATTGTGTGAAGTGCTCGCCTGCCTCTCTGTGTGTGGAGACCTTGGGCCTTCATGGGATGTGCCAGTAGGGCAAGTTGGGAAGTGCTTAGGGGAGAGGACTGAGCTTGTCTTCACCTACTTGCAGCTGGCTAGCTTCCCCCTCTGCTGCCGGAGCCTCACTGGCTGCCAGTTCTGGTCAGCATGGGGAGAGGGGAAGGACAGGTTTTTCTCAGTTGTGGGACAAGAGATCCAAGCTGGAAAGAGCTGTCTGTCTCCTCCTTTTGGGGATTAGGGACTAGCAAGCCTCTCCCACCCTTCCAGGAGGCTTAGCCTTAGCCTGACGCAGGCCTTCCCTTCTTGGTCGCTCACTGGTGATGTGGACCCTGCTGCTGTGCAGCTAAGTTGCCAGCCCTTGCTGAGCTTGGTCCTCAGCTAGGATAGAATCAAAATCGTCACCGATCCCATTACACTGCACTGATCTCTGGGAGGAGTGGGCTGGAGGTGCTGTCCTTTGCAGGCAACTACTACTGTGCAGCACTGGGGGACCAGAAGCTCCTTACTCCTTTTGTCCTTCCCCTGGGTTTCCTCCCCATATTGGGGTTTGGGCTCCTGGCTGGGCAAAGTGTACTTTGGCAAGACCAATAAATTCAGTCTGCCAGGCCAACCGGTGTCTGGTGTCTATTTCAGCCCCATCCCTGCTAGCCTCATAGCATGTTGTGGTGAGAGGATGAGACCAAGTTGCCTAGAGCCTGCTATGTGGAAGGTGGGCACTGAAGAGCTGCCAAGATCTCTTGACATGTCCTGGACTGCTGGCATGCAATATGGCCGAGCTTTTCCCAGCCTTCCCTGCCTGGCCCTTGCTCCCTGCCACTTGGCAGAGCTGGGCCAAGGATACCTTCGAGAGAAGGGCCTCTTGCCAGATTTGCATTCTCAGCACTTCCAGCTTGGCTCCCTTTCCAATACACAGGGCTCTGCTGCCAGAGCCATAGCTGCATCTGCATTATCTTGGACTACAGTGCCCCTGCACTACGCGAGTTCTAGGTGTTGGGAGCGGAGGTGAGGCTGCGGTGGCTGGGAGGAGTTGTCCCTTTAAACACTGGGCCCAGGGAGGGTAATCTGCCAGAGATTATCTGCTAGGGAGAGGATTGGCATTAAAGGGAATGTCTCCTCCCTTCCCCTGTGTCCTACAGCACCCCTTGTCCTGTGTGTATGGAAACCAAGTTCACTTTCTCCTGGGCAAGCAAAGAGGAGGTGTTTAATTTGAGGAGGTTTTTGATTTGAGGGGTAAGAGAAGGAGACCAGAGTGCATGCTATGGGACTGGGCCTCTTCTTCCTCACTGTGCTGGCCACGCTGGTCTCCTGTGAGGACCCAGAAGGTAACGGGGTGTCTGGGGAAAGAGGGGCTCATGGGGTGCCTCAGAGCTGCTGGCACCTAGCTGGACCAGTCTTCCCCAGCAGGGAGGAAGACCTTTGTCAGATCCTCGTGCTGAGGGTTGACAGAGGGGAAGCGGGAGGGGTGGGGAGGTGGGCTGAGATGAGCTTTGGCTGGGCTTGTACCACCTCCCTGTGGGTTTCTGAGGGCTGGGGAGCTGGTGGGAAGGGTGGTCCTCAGCCCCTGCCCAGCCCTGCTCTGTCTTGCTCCCTGTGGCACCAGGAGACATGGATACGTACTGGTCTGGCACAGCACCCATCTGTCTGGGGGGCTGCAAAGGAAAGCACAAGGAGCTGAAGAGGAGCCAGTGCGGGAACGGCAGCTGCTGCTGGCTGGGCTACAAGTCCTTCTGCCGAGGTACAGCCAGAGTGGGGAGACTGTGGGATCATGGGGATGGCTGCAGGGCTTGCCAGGCTGTGATGGGCAGGTTTTGTGCCACACACACACGTGCATGGAGTCTCTCCAGCAGTCCGGTCCTCGGACCACAAGGGGACGCAGGCTGGGGTACCCGCAGAGCCTGCCCAGCACCCTGGTCCTTGCCCAGGACCCTTGTCTGGGTGCATCCCCTTGGGCTGCTATTCTGCTGAACAGACTGCACGCGGTGCTAGCACCATGCTGCCCACCAGAACTTCCCTGTCCCCAGTGAACTGCGGGCGACCCGAAGCAGACTTCAACTCGGTGGTACATGGCAATGACTGGTGGGTTGGCTCCGTGGTGCGGTACAGCTGC